TTCGAATTGCCAACCACTTGAGGTGGAGGACAGAGCGACGGTTTTGCTTCATGCGGGTCGGCGTTCAATCCCCGACCGTCCACAAGTGGTTGGGCACTATTCCTTACCCCCCCTTCCCACCGTCCCAGCCCTAATCCTTATCCTTCCCCCCATTCCCAGCGCTATATAGTCGTAATAACTTACCCCTTTTCCCCCTATTAATTCCCTTGCCTTCCCTATTTCGAAAAATACCTCGCAATTCCCTATTTAAAAAAAAAAAAATATTCCGTGACTCCCAATTTCGAAAAAAAAGATGACCGGTTCTCTGACAAAAACAGTATATTTTCCATGTATAAAGAATAAATTGTATTTCAACTTTTCCATCACAAAAATTAAATTCGAAAATAACTTTTGAAGAAAAGCTTTTTATTGAAGTAAAAATGTTCAAACTGCCTATTTTGAAAAGGCATTTCACCACTCTAATTCTGAACAACTGTAACATTTATGTTCGCTATGTTGCAACATACTTTCATAATATACTTTTTATAAATATACTTTCTGGACATACTTTCATGACATATTTTCCTAATATATAAACCATAATTTCATAATATACCTCCATTAAATACTTTCATAACATACTTTCGTAATTTACTTCCACAATATACTTTTATTATATACTTTCTGAACATACTTTCATAGCACTCATTATATACTTTCATAATATATTTTCTGAACATATTTTCATAGCACTCATTATATACTTTCATAATATACTTTCTGAACATATTTTCATAGCACTCATTATATACTTTCATAATATATTTTCTGAACATATTTTCATAGCACTCATTATATACTTTCATAATATATTTTCTGAACATACTTTCATAGCACTCATTATATACTTTCATAAAATACTATTTGCAGAATCGAACTTAGAGAGACTTGATCTTAATTAAACATTAAGTGACACATTACACTTGTAATCTAAGTAGTAATTAGTGATGCTGGGGGGGGGGGGTAATCAGTTTGAAGTTTCTGATGGACTTGTGGTGGTTCCCGTTTCTGAGTGGACGACCTGATAGGTACTACACGTGTATTTGTTTACGCATAGGGCGCTCACACACACACACTCACACTCACACACACACACACACACACACACTGTCATGTGTAGATATGACAGAGCCCGATAGGCTCAGGAATCTGTACACCTGTTGATTGACGGTTGAGAGGCGGGACCAAAGAGCCAGAGCTCAACCCCCGCAAACACAACTAGGTGAGTACAACTAGGTGAGTACACACACACACACACACACACACACACACACACACACACACACACACACACACACACACACACACACACACACACACACAATGAGTAGGAAAATATACAATCAATTGTAAAGAAATTTGCAAGGAATTCAATGCCAGCTTCCATGGAGTGTTCACAACTGAACCTGAACACCTCCAAGGGCTAGAATCTATCCAATATTTAGAGATGTAATTGGCTGAAAAGCTTTAAATTGGATTGTATCATAAATTATAACTATCCAAAAACTATTTCATCAATTTTAACTGGCCAAAAAACTATTTCAAATCCAATTAATCCCAGAAGTATAATGGTCTGGAATCACAAAGTAATTACCTAAAACTAGGAAGAGGTAATTGGCCTGTTAACGACCCTTGACCTCTTCCAAGCGCCTGAGTCCTACTGACAACCTGTCAATCCCAACTAACGATTGTGTCAAGAGGAATGACAGACTGTGCGCTCGTTCTAATTACAACCATTTCCTCGCTTGTTTCGCGGGGCGGTCAAATTGGTGCTATGTTAATGGGGCGAGAAATAGACGAAATTGAAAGGCAATAAAGTAGTTACGAAACAACGGGGAATAAACGAGGCGAATTGGGAAAGAAATGCGACGAATAATTGGTTTGTTGTATAATTTTAAGGATCCTAAAATGGGTGTAATTTTTTTTGTCAGTAAGCTCCACCCACCATATACTAAGCTCCACCCACCATGCTGTAAGCTCCACCCACCATATACTTAGCTCCACCCACCATGCTGTAAGCTCCACCCACCATACTGTAAGCTCCACCCACCATGCTGTAAGCTCCACCCACCATGCTGTAAGCTCCACCCACCATCCACTAAGCTCCACCCACCATGCTGTAAGCTCCACCCACCATCCACTAAGCTCCACCCACCATGCTGTAAGCTCCACCCACCATGCTGTAAGCTCCACCCACCATGCTGTAAGCTCCACCCACCATCCACTAAGCTCCACCCACCATGCTGTAAGCTCCACCCACCATCCACTAAGCTCCACCCACCATATACTAAGCTCCACCCACCATCCACTAAGCTCCACCCACCATGCTGTAAGCTCCACCCACCATGATGTAAGCTCCACCCACCATGATGTAAGCTCCACCCACCATCCACTAAGCTCCACCCACCATATACTAAGCTCCACCCACCATCCACTAAGCTCCACCCACCATACAATAAGCTCCACCCACCTTACTCATTCACCAATGAGTGATCACCTTTTCATATTTAACCCCGCCCTCTAACCAATCAGAAACCCCCCTAGCATCTCCGGATGCCAGATACGTCAATATGATAAGCTATCAAGGTTCATATACATGCTAATGAGCCCCTATCACCTCTAATTACTCCCTTCCATAATTAACGATCCATTTTCCATAACCATTAAGACGTTATCTTGGATCATTAACTCCAATTACTATCGCAAATAAGAATGTTTAATTGGACACACTGAAGATGATTAGGCAAGGAGACGGCTTGAGGGGGGGGGGGGTCTAATTACCCCTGACGGTCATTAACACAATTATAACATATATAACAACCATTCTCAGCTAACAACCATTCTCAGCTAACAACCATTCTCAGCTAACAACCATTCTCAGCTAACAACCATTCTCAGCTAACAACCATTCTCAGCTAACAATCATTCTCAGCTAACAACCATTCTCAGCTAACAACCATTCTCAGCTAACAACCATTCTCAGCTAACAACCATTCTCAGCTAACAACCATTCTCAGCTAACAACCATTCTCAGCTAACAACCATTCTCAGCTAACAACCATTCCCAGCTAACAACCATTCTCAGCTAACAACCATTCCCAGCTAACAACCATTCCCAGCTAACAACCATTCCCAGCTAACAACCATTCTCAGCTAACAACCATTCTCAGCTAACAACCATTCTCAGCTAACAACCATTCTCAGCTAACAACCATTCTCAGCTAACAACCATTCTCAGCTAACAACCATTCTCAGCTAACAACCATTCTCAGCTAACAACCATTCTCAGCTAACAACCATTCTCAGCTAACAACCTTTCCCAGCTAACAACCCTTCTCAGCTAACAACCATTCCCAGCTAACAACCATTCTCAGCTAACAACCATTCCCAGCTAACAACCATTCCCAGCTAACAACCATTCTCAGCTAACAACCTTTCCCAGCTAACAACCATTCTCAGCTAACAACCATTCTCAGCTAACAACCATTCTCAGCTAACAACCATTCTCAGCTAACAACCATTCTCAGCTAACAACCTTTCCCAGCTAACAACCATTCTCAGCTAACAACCATTCCCAGCTAACAACCATTCCCAGCTAACAACCATTCTCAGCTAACAACCATTCTCAGCTAACAACCATTCTCAGCTAACAACCATTCTCAGCTAACAACCATTCTCAGCTAACAACCATTCTCAGCTAACAACCATTCTCAGCTAACAACCATTCCCAGCTAACAACCATTCCCAGCTAACAACCATTCTCAGCTAACAACCATTCTCAGCTAACAACCATTCTCAGCTAACAACCATTCTCAGCTAACAACCATTCCCAGCTAACAACCATTCTCAGCTAACAACCATTCTCAGCTAACAACCATTCTCAGCTAACAACCATTCTCAGCTAACAACCATTCTCAGCTAACAACCATTCTCAGCTAACAACCATTCTCAGCTAACAACCATTCTCAGCTAACAACCATTCTCAGCTAACAACCATTCTCAGCTAACAACCATTCTCAGCTAACAACCATTCTCAGCTAACAACCATTCTCAGCTAACAACCATTCTCAGCTAACAACCATTCTCAGCTAACAACCATTCTCAGCTAACAACCACCCAGTTAACAACCCAAACCTCAGTATAAACACTGAATCACCGTTCGCAAGGCCACTAACTACCTCGTTCATCACTCCGTTACAAATACAACAAATACAATTGTATTTGGATTATACAATTTATAATTATTTGGATTATACAATTTATAATTATTTGGATTATACAATTTATAATTATTTGGATTATACAATTTATAATTATTTGGATTATACAATTTATAATTATTTGGATTATACAATTTTAGGCTAAGTACCAAAATATTAAAATAATTGACATGCGTAAATGTTGATATACTGAGAGTTATACACAGATAACGATACTCATACATTCATAGTCATACACAGATAACGATACTCATACATTCATACATAGAGGTGTATTCTGCTCCTGGGGGGGGGGGGTATGTATACACATTAATTCTGGCCCGAACACAGGTCAGAAACAGTATACACGTGGTGGTTGGTCAGTAAGCAGTTATGGTGTATATCTCAGTATACATACACCAAGAAGTTGAGTATACACCTCTCAAGTGTATAAATTCCTTAGCCTTAAAAACTCACCTAAATGACTTGATTACTATTTAATATAGTTTCAAACTCACTACTTAATATGCATTTATAATAATGTCTGTGTTAGGAGGCCAAAGGCTTGTGGCTTGCTTCACTAAACTTTTCAAGATGACACGTGGGGGTGTAGGGAGTATCATAGGTCGGTCGTGGTATATCTACACCAACACCTGCCTCCTACAGGAGGAAGATCCACACCAACACCTGCCTCCTACAGGAGGAAGATCTACACCAACACCTGCCTCCTGCAGGAGGAGGAAGATCCACACCAACACCTACCTCCTCCCACTTCCTAGTGGAGAGGGAGCCAGCGTTTCTGAGGTTCATAATCTTAAGTTCAACGTCCTTCCTGGTGCCGTCTTGGAGGAACTCCACTACACTGAGCCGTTCGTCTCTCTTGCCCTCCAAGTTCTCGAAGACCTTGTCGTAGGAGACGCTCACGTTCTTCAGGTATCTGGTGAGTAGAACAGAAGAACAGCCGTGAGTGAGGATGAGTGAGAGAGAGAGAGAGAGAGAGAGAGAGAGAGAGAGAGAGAGAGAGAGAGAGAGAGAGAGAGAGAGAGAGAGAGAGAGAGAGAGAGAGATACAGAGACTCAGAGAGTGAAAGATATTCAGAGACGAAGAGAGATACTTCTCTCTCGATTGGAAGAGATACAGAGAGAGACACACGGATAGCCACAGAAAGATAGCCACAAAAAGATAACCACATAAAGATAGCCACAGAAATATACCCACAAACATACCCTCATACCAAGAAAATCATGCCAAATACGGCACCCAAACCATTGGACAAATCCATTATCCTAAACTCCCTAATCACCTAACCTAATTAGATGGTTACGTCTGGGGGGTAATTATAAAGTATAATGAGTCTAGCGGTTTATTTATTACCATCGACGGTCATTAAAGGGCGCTAATTAGCGAGTGGTGATAAATGATGATAGATCCTTGTTATTTTAGCGTCAAGCACAGGCTAGTTGGCTCGTTAGAGGACATATACCGGGACTGGCAAGATACGGCACGATATATAAGGTCAGGAGATGTCATCTGGGGTCACCTGACGTCATCTGGGGTCATGTGACGTCATCTGGGGTCACGTGACAGCATCTGGGGTCATGTGACATCATATGGGGTCACTTGACATCATCTGGGGTCACGTGACAACATCTGGGGGTCATGTGACAACATCTGGGGTCATGTGACAGCATCTGGGGTCACCTGACAACATCTGGGGTCATGTGACAGCATCTGGGGTCATGTGACATCATATGGGGTCACTTGACATCATCTGGGGTCACGTGACAACATCTGGGGTCACTTGACATCATCTGGGGTCACGTGACAACATCTGGGGTCACCTGACAACATCTGGGGTCATGTGACAACATCTGCGGTCACCTGACAACATCTGGGGTCACCTGACAACATCTGGGGTCATGTGACAACATCTGGGGTCACCTGACAACATCTGGGGTCACCTGACAACATCTGGGGTCACCTGACAACATTTAGGGTCATGTGACAACATCTGGGGTCATATGAAAACATCTGGAGTCATGTGACAACATCTGGGGTCACCTGACAACATCTGGGGTCATGTGACAGCATCTGGGGTCATGTGACATCATATGGGGTCACTTGACATCATCTGGGGTCACGTGACAACATCTGGGGTCACTTGACATCATCTGGGGTCACGTGACAACATCTGGGGTCATGTGACAACATCTGGGGTAATGTGACATCATCTGGGGTCACGTGACAACAACTGGGGTCACGTGACAACATCTGGGGTCACGTGACAACATCTGGGGTCATGTGACAACATCTGGGGTCACCTGACAACATCTGGGGTCATGTGACAACATCTGGGGTCATGTGACAACATCTGGGGGGCATGTGACATCTGGGGGTCACGTGACAACATCTGGGATCACGTGACAACATCTGGGGTCATGTGACAACATCTGGGGTCACCTGACAACATCTGGGGTCACGTGACATCATCTGGGGTCACGTGACAACATCTGGGGTCACCTGACAACATCTGGGGTCACGTGACAGCATCTGGGGTCACCTGACATCATCTGGGGTCACCTGACAACATCTGGGGTCATGTGACAACATCTGGGGTCACGTGACAACATCTGGGGTCACGTGACAACATCTGGGGTCACCTGACAACATCTGGGGTCACATGACAACATCTGGGGTCACCTGACAACATCTGGGGTCACGTGACAACATCTGGGGTAACGTGACAACATCTGGGGTCACCTGACATCATCTGGGGTCACCTGACAACATCTGGGGTCACGTGACAACATCTGGGGTCATGTGACAACATCTGGGGTCATGTGACAACATCTGGGGTCACGTGACAACATCTGGGGTCATGTGACAACATATGGGGTCACGTGACAACATCTGGGGTCACGTGACAACATCTGGGGTCACGTGACAACATCTATGGTCACCTGACAACATCTGGGGTCACCTGACAACATTTGGGGTAACATGACAACATCTGGGGTCACCTGACAACATCTGGGGTCACGTGACAACATCTGGGGTCATGTGACAACATCTGGGGTCATGTGACAACATCTGGAGTCACGTGACAACATCTGGGGTCATGTGACAACATATGGGGTCACGTGACAACATCTGGGGTCATGTGACAACATCTGGGGTCACGTGACAACATCTGGGGTCATGTGACAACATATGGGGTCACGTGACAACATCTGGGGTCATGTGACAACATCTGGGGTCACGTGACAACATATAGGGTCACGTGACAACATCTGGGGTCACGTGACAACATCTGGGGTAACGTGACAACATCTGGGGTCACGTGACAACATCTGGGGTCATGTGACAACATCTGTGGTCATGTGACAACATCTGGGGTCATGTGACAACATCTGGGGTCACGTGACATCATCTGGGGTCACGTGACAACATCTGGGGTCACGTGACAACATCTGGGGTCACGTGACAGCATCTGGGGTCACCTGACATCATCTGGGGTCACCTGACAACATCTGGGGTCATGTGACAACATCTGGGGTCACGTGACAACATCTGGGGTCACGTGACAACATCTGGGGTCACCTGACAACATCTGGGGTCATGTGACAACATCTGGGGTCACGTGAAAACATCTGGGGTCACGTGACAACATCTGGGGTCACCTGACAACATCTGGGGTCACATGACAACATCTGGGGTCACCTGACAACATCTGGGGTCACGTGACATCTGGGGTCATATGTGACAACATCTGGGGTCACGTGACAACATCTGGGGTCACGTGACAACATCTGGGGTCATGTGACAACATATGGGGTCACGTGACAACATCTGGGGTCACGTGACAACATCTGGGGTCACGTGACAACATCTGGGGTCACCTGACAACATCTGGGGTCACCTGACAACATTTGGGGTAACATGACAACATCTGGGGTCACCTGACAACATCTGGGGTCACGTGACAACATCTGGGGTCATGTGACAACATCTGGGGTCATGTGACAACATCTGGAGTCACGTGACAACATCTGGGGTCATGTGACAACATATGGGGTCACGTAACAACATCTGGGGTCAAGTGACAACATCTGGGGTCACGTGACAACATCTGGGGTCATGTGACAACATATGGGGTCACGTGACAACATCTGGGGTCATGTGACAACATCTGGGGTCACGTGACAACATATGGGGTCACGTGACAACATCTGGGGTCACGTGACAACATCTGGGGTCACCTGACAACATCTGGGGTCACGTGACAACATCTGGGGTCATGTGACAACATCTGTGGTCATGTGACAACATCTGGGGTCATGTGACAACATCTGGGGTCACGTGACAACATCTGGGGTCACGTGACAACATCTGGGGTCACGTGACAACATCTGGGGTTACGTGACAACATCTGGGGTCACGTGACAACATCTGGGGTCACATGACAACATCTGGGGTCACGTGACAACATCTGGGGTCGTCTGACATTTTACCCATTTTGGGTAAATTGATAAATTTATTTTACCCATTTTGGGTAAATTGATAAATTTATTTTACCCATTTTGGGTAAATTGATAAATTTATTTTACCCATTTTGGGTAAATTGATAAATTTATTTTATCCATTTTGGGTAAATTGATAAATTTATTTTACCCATTTTGGGTAAATTGATAAATTTATTTTACCCATTTTGGGTAAATTGATAAATTTATTTTATCCATTTTGGGTAAATTGATAAATTTATTTTACCCATTTTGGGTAAATTGATAAATTTATTTTACCTATTTTGGGTAAATTGATAAATTTGATATTTAATTATATATTAGAATTAAATAATAACTAATTAATTTTCAATTAATCAAATAAAGTCGAAAATAAATGACCAAATGTCTATCAGACGATAGATAAAATTAAGGGCGTCAGAGTCTATTAAGATTCCATGCGGTGATTGCAATAAAGTTCATTGTGGCCCAATAGGCTCGGATCTTACCCCCCTCCCAGCATCACTGAAAACAACAGAAGCTGGAGAAGCAACCAAGTTTCTCCATGATGTATTTTTCCATGGAAATACACAATATACTTTTCCCGTTTTTTTTAAACAGTAAGTTATTATTTTCATTTTCAATTTTCAATATTTCATTAAAATTTTCAATTTTTTTTTCAGTAAATTTCAAGAAATTTTCAATAAAAATTCCATTTTTATATACTCATGACTTCAAAATGATCGTGGGGCCAGATTCACGAAGCAGTTACGCCAGTACTTACGAACCTGGGGCCAGATTCACGAAGCACTTACGCAAGTACTTACGAACCTGTCCATCTTTTCTCAATCTTTGGCGGCTTTGTTTACAATTATTAAACAGTTAATGAGCTCCGAAGCACCAGGAGGCTGTTTATAACAATAACAACAGTTGATTGGCAAGTTTTCATGCTTGTAAACTGTTTAATAAATGTAACCAAAGCCGGCAAAGATTGAGGAAAGATGTACACGTTCGTAAGTGCTTGTGTAACTGCTTCGTGAATCTGGCCCCAGGTTCGTATGTACTTGCGCAACTGCTTCGTGAATCTGGCTTCAGGACGGACCGAAACGTCGCCGTCTCCTTATCTTGTAGTGTGTGGTGTGGTTATCATATCTTCAGTTATCGTGGCTCATCGTCTGCACTACCATAGATCTGTTAGCAGCATACGTCAGACCAACGCCATAGTATGCAGCGAGGTGTAAATTAGAAAAAAATGTAGAAATTGGCTATAAGATTAGTCCCAGAATTAAGGAACATAGTTACTGTAACAGAGTAACGAAGGTGATATCACTTGGAGAAATAAAAACCAGAGGACATGATCCAGGTGTAAAAAATACTTTGTAAAAAATAAGTTGTAGTGTGTGGATAATGAAAGACGCTTCAACGATGAGTATTTAGG